TTTCTTTTGGCCAGGTGTTACCGTCGCTGTAACTCGCTACTGCAGATCATGCGACGTGTGTCAACGGACGGTGGATAAGGGGAAGGTGAGCAAGGTCAGACTGGGTGACATGCCGCTCATTGGTGAACCATTTTCCCGCATGGCCGTAGACCTGGTGGGGCCGCTTGAGCCACGATCTTCAAATGGCTCTCGGTACATCCTGACGGCAGTCGATTATGCTACGCGGTACCCCGAGGCTGTCGCTCTTCCAAGCATTGACACACCTACAGTAGCAGAGGCCTTGGTTACAATCTTCAGCAGGGTAGGTGTGCCTAGAGAGATTTTATCTGACAGGGGGACACAGTTTACCTCTGACATAATGAAAGAAGTATATCGCTTACTTTCCATTCAGTCTTTGACCACTACACCATACCATGCTATGTGCAATGGTCTTGTTGAAAAATTTAACGGGACACTAAAGAAAATGCTTAAAAGGATGTGTGTTGAGCAGCCCAAGGAATGGCACCGCTACTTGGCGCCCCTTCTATTTGCTTACCGCCAAGTACCCCAGGCCAGCACGGGATTCTCGCCCTTCGAGCTGATTTACGGACACACCGTAAGAGGACCGCTAACACTGCTGCGTGAGTTATGGGACGGCAGTCCGGTTGATGATGAGGTAAAGTCTGCATATGAGTATGTAATTAACCTACGAGAAAGGTTGGAAAATACATGTAGAATGGCTTTAACAGAATTAAAACAGGCGCAGGAGGTAGCCCAGCACTACTACGACCAGAAAACCAAAGACCGAAATATTGTGGTTGGCGATGACGTCTTGCTACTGTTGCCTACCAATACCAACAAGCTGTTGTTCCAGTGGAAGGGACCATTCAGAGTCTTAGGCAGCCCTAGCAAATGGAACAAGGTGGTGGATGTAAACGGGACTCCGAGAAAATATCACGTTAACATGTTGAAGCGTTACGTGTACCGCGAAGGCGAAAAGAAAACGGAGAAAACCGCCGTCGCCGTGGTGGCGTCCGACGCCGTGCAAGGTAAATTAATTACAATTCCCAGTTATCACCAGCAGGAGACGTGGAAAGACGTACATTGCAATATTCATTTACCAGACGATCAGCAAGAAGATCTAAAGGAAATTTTACGCAAGTATGAAACGGTATTAACGGATGTTCCAGGTAAAACTAATGTGACTGAATACAGAATTGAGGTGACGGTGCCCGATACTATTAGAGTAAAACCTTACCCTATTCCTTACAGCTTAGAGGATGTGGTGAGAGAAGAGCTGTCTCATATGATGCAACTTGGCATTATTGAAGCATCGGACTCCTCGTTCTCGACTCCTATTTTAGTTGTGCCTAAAAAGGATGGAAAACATCGGCTTTGTTTAGATTTCAGGAGACTAAACAAAATTGTTAAATTTGATGCAGAACCCATGTGCGATCCAGAATCCATATTTTGCAGGCTAAGTCACAGCAGATATTTTTCGAAGATCGACCTGACAAAAGGTTACTGGCAAATACCTCTGGAAAAGGATTCCCGGAAGTTTACCGCTTTTTCTACTCCTGCAGGTTTGTTTCAATTTACAGTCTTGCCATTCGGCCTGGTTAATGCCCCTGCAGCGTTTAACAGACTCATGAGAAGCTTATTTGGCAACATGGAAGGAGTGGAAACCTTCCTGGACGATATTCTGGTACACACGACGACGTGGGATCAACATTGCATTCTACTGGAGCAAGTGCTGACTAAACTCTGCAACGCAAATTTAACGGCGCGACCAACGAAGTGCGAGCTAGGTAAGACAACCTTGGAATATTTGGGACATATTGTTGGCGAAGGCCAGTTAAAGCCTACTGCTGAAAAGACTATTAACATCATAGACACTCCCCCGCCTACTAGTAAAAAGCAAGTTAGGTCATTCCTCGGGCTGTCTGGATACTACCGCCGCTACATCGAGAATTACGCCAGCATCGCCGCGCCGCTGACGGAGCTAGTCAAGAAAAGCGCCCCGTCCAAGGTCACGTGGCGAGAAGAACATCAGCGCGCATTCGACAGGTTGAAATATGCGCTGACAAAACCCATCCTTAAACTCCCCGATATTAATAACCCTTTCATCCTCAGAACAGACGCTTCGGAAGTGGGTTTGGGAGCTGTCCTTTTACAGGAAGATGCTGACGAGAAACTCCCCGTGGCGTATGCCAGCAGAAAACTGTCTAACACGGAGCAAAAATATTCGGTGATCGAACGAGAGTGTCTGGCGGTGGTGTGGGCAACCAAGAAATTCTACAAGTTCCTGTACGGTCGCGAGTTCTACCTCGAGACGGACCACCAACCTCTCGTATACTTGGATACAGCAAAATCACTAAACGGTCGCTTGATGAGGTGGGCGCTGGCTCTACAAGAATATAGAATGATTATTCGTTATATCCGCGGTAGTGAAAATGTTGGTGCAGATTTCTTAAGCAGAAATCCCGCGTTAAGTGTTCAAAGTGAAACCGTGTTGTGTTAA